TTTTAAATCAACAAATTAATGTTATGATGTTTGGATATGGCAATTTGTAAAATTATTACGTAATTGAGACATAAAAATGATATTTTATGTTAAATAGTGTATGATACATATTGTATATAGYCATGTGAATATACATACATTTTTCCATATTTAAACAAAATATATTACCTATATTTGTTTGTTTTCATTTTATTATTTTACTGTCAGTATTTTCGCTTACCWTACGTCMTTTATGAGTTAGGTATAGTATGTTATTATCAATGTATTTCCATCGTTTTAAACATTGAATGACCCCCATTATTTATTTGATAACTTCAATGATAGCAGAATAACTTGAATATTATAAAATATATCCTTGTAAAAGCAACAGTAAGCAGTTTTATCATAATGAATTAATATTTGATTACAAATATAAATGCTAACTTATTTGAATCATAAAATAACTAAAAAAAATAATATTAATTCTCGTATACTAGGAATCAGCATTTAAAACCTGAAAGTAGGTATAAGTGATTCTTGAACTTCCAGTTTTGAAAATTAATTTTTTCTAAATCTGTTTATATTTTAATTTCTTATATTAAGTCTAAGTGCTTACATTAGATGACTATTTTGTAGTTACTATGTACACAGTTCTTAATTAGATACGGTACTTATTTTTGTATCATMTCGCCATCGCGTCTTATTAAATTATCACCCTGTCACCAATCAAGTGGGCAGTCTTAAATCTAAAAATTTGCCATAGTTATCATCAGTTTTTTCTGTTCGTCATCTACCTGCTAATAGAAAAATYATAAAATTCTTAGCTAGAAGAATGTTTTCTATCTCAGACATCGGCAACATAGATAAAATACGYGTTCACTAAAAATCGTTTTTTAAGTAAACTTAGATCAACTATAACAAAAATTATRGAGGTTAATATTTTTGAGGGTATGACATATCGGTTTTATATTTTATTATTGTTTGACTTTTGACTTTGTATTCAACTTTCTAAAAAAAAAATGTGTTCCTATGTTCAAACTGTAATGAAAAAATCTTTAATCAAATGAATATGTCATAGGTACCCTCAAAAATAATATTCTCTATCATTTTGGAATAGGTGGTTTTACTCCAATATTACACAAAAACATAAAAAAAAAAAATGATTCTGTGAAAAAAGCCTTTTGTCTGCGTTGCGCGTGGGCCAGGGATACAAAACAATTGATGTGTATTTTTTAAATAATATTATTATGTTCGCCATATCTAATTAGCTACTCTAAGAGTATAGTAAAAGCAATACAAACGTTATTTTGAAATATATTTAAAAAAAATATTTAAAAGAGTTAATCAGCAGAATATTAAATAATGCTATATTCATTTTACAAAAAATAAATCATCTTTAAACCAAATGCAAATGTGTGAAGAATTAAGGACATTAAAGGATCTTTATATGTAATTATCTTATTTTTGTTTGTTCACATTTAATTTTCAAAAATTAATTATCAATAATTATTAGATCTACTACAAAATTGTAAACATTAATATTTTTTTGCATTTAAAAGATTTGTTAGAATACATAAAATAATCTGAATGCGACGGATAGTTACCTATAGTGGTGTGGCGTAGCAGCGTGTTAGGGCCGATAAATATTTTAATTCGTAGTTGTGGGCTCATAACAAAAATGTATATTTTTTGTAATTCATATTTTAATGTCTATGTAAATTATATACCTATTATTATACATTAGTCGCCTTTATCATATTAAACATTAAATAATTAATAAAATTCGAACGCAATAAGCTGTTATTAACTTATAGTCTATCTTTATACCATATAAACGGTGTAAATATACARGGTGTTTATTGAAGGAAACTCGTTCTATTTTTATGGTTAAATTATGCATATAATAAAATTCAAATTTTCAGGATTTTTAATTTTACATTTGAACACCCTTTTTCGAATTATTGACGTTTTTGTACCACTATTCCTGCGACAATATAGACTAAAGTTTTTCAAATAAGAACTTCCGTTATTTATTTTTTATTAATATACAGATTTTTAATTTTAATGTATCTAACTCAAAATTCCAGCTATCAGTGTTTGTGTTTTATAAAACCATTTTTAAGGATTATTATCCATTGTATGAATATTTATTAACTCAGAAACAACTCATTAGAATTTTGATTTAGATACATCTACATTTTCAAAAGAATTATCCAATTAATAATTTTCAGGAAAAAAAGGGGGGTTCTTATTTGAAAAATAGAAGTTGGTATTGCGACAGAATATTCCCTAAATAGCACAAAAAATATCAAACATTTTAAAATATGGTCTTTAAGTCTATTCATAAAAATTCTAAAAATCAGAATTTAAATAAATGTACTATTGAAGAGAAAAATTGTGGTTGAGCAATGAGCATGYTTAAAAAATCGGTCTGTATATATAATTTCATGCATTATTTGCTAAATATTTACTTTATAAACAAACTGCAGGGAATTCGCTGCTCTTTCATATAGTAGCTATATACAGTATAACTCGTCATCGATTTGGTGACTGTATCAGGAAGTATATATTATATTTTAATCATGAATTCAACGGTAAAAAAAAACGATCGTGCGTGGAAGGCGGTGTGATAATTTATTATCTCGCAATTATATACGATAGGTTGTACTGATTTTTGTCTAAAATGAATTGCATATAATAATWATTATTATATTGTTTCATATAATATAACTATGTAAATGTTATTAACTAGTAAGTCAATCACCGACGTACTGCAGTAGAAGTTTAGAACTGTCTGAATAGGTATGTATAGTGTAAATTGTTTAAAATGAATCTCAATTTTTGAAAATTTCATTGTATGTARAAATAATGATATAATATATACGCAATGATAAAAAGTTATGTCCCTAAGAATTAATATTTTTTGAATTACAATCAAATAATTAAAATCGTGTTTTTTACACTGTTTTTTTAAACATCTCCTTGCTACTTGCTAATTGTCAAGATTTTATCAACGCAGCTACTAAACATTTATTTTTAAAAAAATGTATAGAACAATTTTTATTTATTTTTTATTTTAAAGCTATATTCAATTTAAGTTAAAAAACCTAGCTGACGGCTGACTTGTACTCAGAGGCATGGCAAAACTACACAGTATTATTACACAATTTACTGGGTGGAGATGACAAACGGGTGTTGCCAGATTGCGGCCAGATGAAAATTGATTAGGTTACCTTTCGATTACGTTTCTTAACTTGAACAGAGTAGGTATWGAAGCTATATAAAAAGTGTTGAGTTTGTTATTTTCTGAAAGAAAGGAAGGTTTATTAACCTTATTATTAACCTTAGGTTTGTTAACCTTAAAAAAAGTTACAAAATCACATGCTATTGTAAAATCAATTTAAAAATATACACGAAAATTCAAATATATATAAATCGTTTACTTATTTAGAAAGATCCCCCTTCCTTGTATTAGCAGAAACATCTAAAATGTATGTTACCAGAACACTGAGTTATAAGCAGTTATAAGCAGAGAATAGGSAAGCACCACAATATAAAAACACAATTAGATCAAATTACTTAGTAGAATGAGTGTACTGATCGTATTTTGTACTAATACTATAGGTATATGTTAATTTTTATACAATCAAATAATGTAATTAACAAATATTCATAATTTTACTTTATCTTTTGCAGACTGATGCGAAAATGGTATTGGATGTAATTCAAAGGATGGAAGATACTGAACCATTTTCGGAAGAATTGCTGACTGCTATGAAGAGACTGTGGGCCGATCCTGGCGTGCAAATGTGCTTTTCTCGGTCAAATGAATATCAGCTCAACGATTCTGCTAAATAGTAAATAGATATATTATTTTAAATTATTTTATACTATAGGTAGTTGGTACATCGTACATGTAAATCTAAATCGATCTTTAGAGTTTCCAATCTGCTAAAAAAAAAACACTCAGAATATTTAGATATTAATAGATTTAAAATTCATTATGATTAAATCATACTAAGGAACCATCTTTGAGTGACTGTGTATGACTTTATGCCCTACCCAAAGGGCAAGTCAAAGGTCGCTTAATGCATTATTATGTATTATATTGAGTGTTGTTATTATGAACTTATTAATAGTTTCTGAGGTTATACAAATCCATCAACCTAATAAGTATTAATAAATACATTCTAATGTCGCTAAATGTTTTGAAATAATTGATAGATCGAAAATCAAATTATATTTTATAAGCTTGCAATCAAAAGGTGTATTAATATTTTAGTTTAAATGATAGCTAATTATAATTTATATGAAAATTAGAAAATTCAAAATATCAAATTAAAATGCTTTTAAACTTTAAAAGTGCATTGATAAAGTAAAACATTATTTCTAAAGTAATGAATACAAATAATCAGAAAGTTGTTTAGCATACAATAATTGTATAAAAAACATATAAATATCAAAATAAAAAAATTG